TGTACAAACCACGATGACATGCAGCCAGTTGATCACAGCACTTGGTGTCCACTGCCACCGGCACTGGGATCGCCGGCGGCTGTGGCATAGATTCATCATTGTCAAATGTTATCAATCATGATTCCCATCAAGAGTGCATTGATAGCGTTGTTCACCCATACTATTACGTCGTGTAACCAATGCATGAGCCATGATCAATCAATCATCCTACAAACACATCATCAGACGATGATGTGTAATACGTATCCTAGCATAGACATAGAAGATCTTCTTCTATATCTATGATCTTAGCAAGTTTGTAATATATTCTGTGCAGCTAGTCCAACACATCCCGGACATCTGTGATTGATAGTTACAAATAGAAGTACAGACACACGTGCCATGTGCCAAAGTGTTTCTCCAAAAGGCGTTTAAAATTATACAAATTTACAATACATGTTTGCTTACCATTCATCATCATGATCCCATTGATATAATTGCAGCACGTAATTTCAGTATATAGCTCACGAATTAGTTACGATACGGGAAGTTTATGACCTAAATATATTCGTTTACTATTGCAGGAAGCTGCGTTCATTTTGCTGAAATTATTTTATTATTAAAATTTATATGCCGCACGCCGAACGAGGCTCGTGCAATTGGTGCATGGAAATAGATAGTTAACACACTCGCACATTTATCATGTCTACTGCACAATAATTTAGCATTCATGTTTACATGTATCGCATAATGATGTACATTGCTTTATTGCAGGGACATCCTTTGATGATGCATGCAGATCTGTAAATTCAATCACAGTGCATATAGCGTGTAAAGGTGCTTTAGCAGGATTTTTTTACCGTGATACATATAATAATTTTTAATATACATGAATCTTTATATCCATATATGTGATACAAACACTGTTTCATAATGTCAGATACTTACAAATTAGTAATAATGTGGTCGACAGGTTTATTCGACTCGAATAAATGCAAGGAACTAGTATAGACTGCAGTGCACTTTAGGATCATGGTTTTTATATGTCACCGACTATATACAGCATATAAATGCATTTGTGTTGTACAATTTCCTACTACCTCAGTGCCCCTGGATGCCCCTCTCCCCTGCAGTGTGACCGATCTGCTATGGCAAGCCTAACAAAACCTGGCCATCACTCACATCCTGTGGCAGTGTGCTGCTCATATGGCTTGCATATTAAGCAGCTAAGATGATTAGTTGACCGTCTCTGTGGGGAACGGCTGTAATACAGTAGAGACAAAGCCGGGAGCCCTTCTTGTCTGCCTACCATGGGAGTCTGTCCTGTTTGGTGCATGCACTGTACACCCAGCTTGGATTGTAACTCATCGTGAGTGTGCCTACTAGATTGTGAGGAGAAAACGAGGGTGTCACTGGGAACTTTCCACTGTAGGTCGTAGATTGACGTGCCGATTGAGCAAAGTTTTTACCAAGCAAATTAAGTCATGTTTTTAAAGCTCATGCCAAATGCAGTTGTTTATATGTTATAATAATAATAAACGTGCGCACACGCATGCACACACATGCACACAAGCACGCACATGAATGTACGCGCACGCACACACGCACATGCACGCAGCCGGGCTAACGCTCCATTAGGAGTGTTCCCAACTTTGATATCATTAATGATAAATGATTAATGAAAATGATTAATGATTGATAATCCTAACCCTAACCCTAACCCTAACCTAAATGACATTGAACCACAAACTAAGATATGACCATGACCATGACCATATATATATGTTATTATGACCATTAATGACATTAAAGTTGGGAACACTCCTAATGGAGTATCACCCTGCAGACGATGCACACTATTGCAATCTGAATTTGATAAACCAAGTTTATTGGTACATGCACGTCTATGGCCACCGAAGTTCATAACTCTCTGCTCTGCAAAGCATGCATACATGGGCAAGATGGTATCATGAGTATCCCACGTTTCCATGTATTCTCCCTCACAATCATGAATTCACAATCACTACCATTTTACAATCACTCCAAGTTTGTCACCCTAAACAAAACTACGGCGACTACACTGACTCCGTAGGTCATCAAGAAACGACACTGACATGCAGGGGGACTTTTGAAATCTGTGTGTACTACAACTGTAATTTATTCATCGCAAGAGAAGAGCAAAATTAAGCGAGTAAATTTCATCATTTCATTTTGTACGTGCGTAAGATTACGATACTGTCTTGATGCCAACAAGCTTACACATGAAATCGTAGTAGTGCAGATGCCGACCAATTTTCGTAGTTAGGTGTCTGGCGTGAACGATATAAGCAGATCTATGCGGATACATGCATGTTTGCAAACTAAAATTTACCGAGCAGCAGTAGCAGCTCTAGTATTCACAGAGCAGCACGAAGAAGCTGATTCCCCTGCAGTACTATAGCAGCTTGGTGCTTTCTTTCTCTTCTCTCTCTCGCTCTCTCAGTCTCACTCTCTCTCTCTCGTTGGCTGTTTCACTCGCGCTCTCTCTTGCTCTCTCTGAATTACAGGCCATTGTCGATGCAAGCGGGTTTGTTGAAAGTCGGTTTTTAGATTACTCGTAGCCAAATTGTACGTGGGGGCAACTGGGGTCTTTCGCTCTCCCTGTAATACTCGGTGTAAGTTGCCATGACGTTGGAGCATTTCTCTCGCGCGTACTGGTTTGTGCTGCGAAAAAAATCTTGACGTTATTATATATATATGTGTGTAGCAGCAGCAGCTGATGTGTGTGTGTGCGTGTTGTTGTTGGTGGCGGCGGCCCGTGTTTTCGACTTGTAGTACAAGCACCCGGCATGTAGCATCTGCGCAACTGTTTCTCGGATTTTTACGCGTAAAAGCCGCGTTCTGCTAGAAGTGCGTGGAATTACTGCGTCCTAGCATGTTAGTCACGCTACAGTCCGGTAACTGCTGGCCTGGCCAGACAGCGAGACTAACGCACAGCAATACACATTTCTATCGATGTCTTTCTATAATATGAGCGTTTCTTCGAGCTAGGTAACTCCCAGAAATTTCGTGCGCATAGTGTTTGTTACTCGGGGGAATTTTTTTGCATTAGAAATTTTACGTTCATGTACATGCGAACAGAAGCTGTTTTTTGCTCGATTCGTCGAATTTCCCACATTCTGACACTAGGGCAGTGTTCAGGCCAGTAGCGTTGCAGCGACATGCATTTACTAAATGTACAGACGCGCGAAAACGCGATGCGATTGTGTCGAATTGTTTCTCTTGGGTACGTGTGATGTGGGCAAAAATAATGACAGCCATTTTCTCCCTAACTGGCGTAAATGCTGAATTTCATCACATGGAAAACGTGCTGATCCGATCCTGTGTCATTGTTTGCTCCTGAGCCGTTGTCTGTGACCACCTGTCACTAGTTTCTCCCTCTTGCGTTTTCGTTCTCTTTGTCACTGTACGTGCGCACGGTCATGACAATTTGAACACAGGGTGCGAAATTAACGGGAGTTCGGAGTCAAATACTCCCTGATTTACTGTCGGACTCCCTGATTTGACATATGCAGGAGTTCGTGTGACTCGGACCCCTGAAAATTCTGCCATACTAACTAGTTCGTTCCGGAGCACGGCCTCGCGAAATTACTGTATTTTTTCAGGTAATGTGCAAAGAAAATTTGGCAGACGTGCAACTGCATGAATCTTAAAAATAAGCACATGCGTTATTGTTAATATCTTTAATTTTGAACCTCAGACTGCGGACTCCCTCTTTTTGAGGGTAGGGAGTCCGTTGGGACTCCCTTGTTCAAAAGTAAATTTCTACCCCTGTGAACGTGTTTGTTTAAGTCTGCGTCGGAAAAAAACAAATTACGGGTCGCTGGCTTTCCGATGTAAAAGCAGTGATGACAATGGGGGCCCCTATTTCCCGGACTGGTTCTAGACGGAATTACGTGTATTTAGGTAGTTGAAGTTGTTTCCTAAGATCTATCCAGAGTATGGTGATTGGTAACACTGGTAATTTTGCCAAGCGTATGCAGAAGAGATCTATACTGCATGGCTGAGAAGCAAAAGAAATCTGCATATATATGCTACATTACTGCATGCTGCATATGCACAAGAATGTGGGGGAAAGGCCGTGTGGCATCGTGTATAGATGATTAAATCTCTTTCATTATTCTGAGGTTGAATAATGTAAACTGTGACATGACCGAGACAGGGCATGGTCATAATATTTTAGGTGTAATTTTTTATTGGGCTGGTGCGACGTAAACGGCGTTCAAGTTGCTAATCAATAACATACTGACAAACAGACAGATCTGTACATTTTACTAACTTTATATATATAAAAACGTTCACCGTAAAAAAGAAAACCTATGACAGTAAATTCTACTAAAACATCCCGACAGTTCAGATTAAATTTCTATATTATGAACTTGTAAATGGGAAATTTTATAATTGGAAGGGATTAAAATGCTGTTCGGACGTGTATCACATTGCAGGGCCCCGAAGTGAACTGTAGCTGAGGGGAGGGGGTTAAATACTGTATATTATGATGACTCTATACTGGAAATGCACATTAACTTGTTAGAACGTTATTGAATAGCGGGTCATATCAGCGTACAGATGCTTTACAAGGCAACATCGCAACGTGACCATAAAATGACATGCCTGCGTGTCTAAAAATATACAAAATGACGCTAACGCCTCGCCTTTCAGGGGAGAATTTATACCGTTTTATGGCCGCGATAAATGTTTAAATTCTGGGTGTGCTTGCAAGAGACACTGTGTCAGATATTCGACCGCGCCTGGCCCTGGGTGCTTGCATGCTGCGTGACACCATTCACCCTATGCGGATAGCTTTGCGCTCGAGTCAAATAATTGTTGTACGATATAGATCTGTTGCCATTTGTGGCCTGAAATCGGTCCTTCCGCAAGCCGGTAGATTCTGAATCGATTGTATGAACAGGAAACGTAAACGTTGGAACCATTGTAGAGTTTTTGAAAAATGAAATCAGTGCTCTCCACTTAATGTCAACATGGAATGTGTGCGTTACGAACGGATGTGTGGAGCTACGCAGGAAGCGTTACTGAAAATGTTATTGTTTTCAGACGTGTGATGAAAATTACGGGGAAGTTTTAAGTTTTCATGCATGAGGCGTCATAATTTCGTTTAGATTAGTTGTGATTAAAGGTAGTAGTAGTAGAAGTTGATGTTGCAGGGCACCTGATCATATAGAGACATTATTGCACGACAAGTTACATGACATTACATAACATTATGTTTCGTTGCATTATGCTACATTACGTTATATTGCATTTCATTACATTTATATCATTGCAAAGATGATGCTCACCTTATCTATATAGACATGTCATTACATTACATTAAATTTCACTTACGATGTGCTACGTTGTGTTATACATTGTTTCCGTGTCACTACAGGGCTGCTCCTATAGACATGTCATTACATTACGTTACATTAAGTTACGATGTGCTACGTTGTGTTATACATTGTCTCCATGTCATTGCAGAGCTGGTCATCCTCCATAGCTGGTCATTCTATAGACACGTCATTGCATTACGTTACATTACATTACGTTACATTGTCTCCATGTCGTTGCAGGCTGCTCATCCTATATAGACACATCATTACATTACATTAATGATACATTACATTACATTGTACTACACTGCGTTACATTACATCGTCTTCGTGTTGTTGCAGGGCTGCTCATCCTATAGACATGTCATTACATTACGTGTCATTATGATACACTACCGTACGTTACATTTCACCGCTTCCATTGCATCGTTACAGGGCTGCTCATCCGATAGACACGTCATTACATTGCATTACGAAACGCTACGTTACTTTACATCCGATTCCCCCCTCCGCATCGTTGCAGGGCTGCTCATCCTGTAGACACGTCGTTACATCACGATACGTTACATTACATCCCCCCTCCGCATCGTTGCAGGGCTGCTGTCGCTGGCGCGCGCTCAGGACTTCTTCTTCTTCACGGAGAAGCCGGCCAACGCCGACGTCGTCGAGGGCTCTCCCGTCGTGCTGCGCTGCGACGTCTCGCGGCACGCGCACATCGTCGTCGCGTGGCAGCTTGACGGAAGCGCCGTCGCCAACACGACGCGCCGCTACCAGAACGACACGCACCTGTGGATCCGGCGCGCGCAGCGCGAGCGGGACGCCGGCGGGTTTCGCTGCACGGCGACCAACGTCACGTCCGGAACGAGCAAGTCCACGCCCGCGGCGACGCTCAACATACAGTGTGAGTAGCTGACAGGGGAGAGGGGATGAAGGAGAGGGGTAGGGAGAAGGAGAGGAGGGAGGGAGGAAGAGAGGGAGGGAGGTTTCTGCTGCATAGCGACCAACGTCACATCCGGAACGAGCAAGTCCACCAACGCTCAACGTACAGTGAGTAGCTGACAGGGGAGAGGGGAGGGAGGAGGGTAGGGGGAATTGCGGAAGAGGGGGAGAGGGGGAAGGAGTCTTCTGCTGCACGGCGAATCACCAACGAGTTTAGCTGTCGGAAGCTTTCTGGAGATATAGAACATGAAGGATCTGCAATTCTCAAGATGTAAGGCGTACGTAGACCATGTACCACCAGGGTGCGCAATCTGTCGGCGTTTTTACTTGCAAGATTGTAGAACTAATGAGGGTATAATATAATAAAAAATAAAGAATATAGCATATATCATATATGTAATATTGACATGTAGAAATTTAAAGTATATGCAATATTTAATTAAATAAATTAACAATATAACTAAAGTGAAATGACTGAATGCATGGCATTGACCCCACAAGTCTGAACTGTCAGAGAATTGCTCACAGCCTATATCATCTGATAACTAAATGTAGTTGTCTACCTGGTAATGAAATGCGAATCCCCCGAGGGTGTGTGTGGGTGTAGCCACGGAGCAGCCCACCTGCTTATAACTAACTAACTAACTACCTGTACATACCTGTTCTTACCTGGGTACGTTGCAGCAGCAGGTTCATCTGGGGCAGCTGCGTGTGTGTGTGCGAGTCGATGCATCATCGTGTAACTGTTACTGCAGTGTCAATATGCAACAGCGGCAATAAATAACACACTGGGTGTAGAGTCAGCCGCTCCATCCGTGCGTGCGTGCGTGCGTGCGTGCGTGCGTGCGTGCGTGCGTGCGTGCGTGTGTGTGCCCAATTGTTACAGGCTCGCCACTGCTCACACGTGTATGCCGTACATACGTACGAAAGACAGGTCTCGCGCTCTCTCCCGTCTCATCCCTCGGGGCAGCCGGCTAGGAGAGTAATGCTCCCGAGTACGTGATGAAGTTAATTAAAACGTGCGAGGCCACACGTAGATGATATATTGTATCCCGTCACCCGACATTGCTTACCTGTACCGGACCGACCACACCACTCTCTTCATGCTGAGGTTTTTGTAATATCTCGAGTGTTATCGTATTCGTATTGACTGATGCGGTGTAAAGTTTCATCCGTAAAATTCAAAATTGTCTTCACAAATTCCGTATGCGGTGTGATGCGGTGTAGCACGTTGTCATAAATATCAGGGTTGCCGCACGGATATGAATAAATACGTAGGCAGAATGACTTCACAGATGGACACCATGTGGTATATTTGCCCTAACACGTAGAGTGACAAAGTTGTGACATAGCTGACGTCGCTGAAAAAATAATGATGACATCGACGTTAGCGGTTTACTAGTTGTTCAAAACACCCGGACCCAGATGCTTAACGCTTCCCAGATGATGTGCACGCTCTAGTAATGGATGTTTACCCCGAACATTTTTTCGGAAGATAAATTCTTGCAGATGCAGGACTTGGAGGCAGCAGTCATGGTTGGAAGCCTCGGACCCTTATTGCTCAGGCTCTTAGACACCAGTGATTGAGTGATCTTTTAACACATGTGCCTGCCTAACTATTAATTAGAATTTATAACCTTTCAGATACATCTGTCTTGCAACATCCGTGCACGACGTTTTCCTGTACACAGTTTAACGATATACACGATTACTCCACAACGTAAAATCAATTGATTTTATCGTAATTTCAACGTAATATTGTGTGCGTATGAAGGCAAGTTCACAGACTGCAAGTTGGATATCATAAATAGCTCTTGACTATTCACTCAAGATTGCAAGACATGCACTCATGATCAATATTAGACTTTCGATGAACCCGTCTCTCTAGTCTCTCCCATCTAATAAATCAACGTACGTGCGCCATCAAAAGGAGAGAACCTAAAAAAAAAGCCTCTTGGAGAGAACTCTATAGACTTCATCACCGTACCCTATACCGCCGCTGTCCTCTTTGAAAGGTTCCTTCCTTTCTGAAAAGGGTTTTGTGGCAGTGAGTCAGTGAGTAGCGAGTGACTGGAGGTAGCCACAAGTTCCCTTCTCGCTTAACACTACGTTGGCGTAAGTCCTACGCCGTGTAACAGTCGGGGAGCCTGGTCGGTTTAGACTGGAGAGGCAGCTTGTGCAAGATCGAGGCATGCGCGCGGGGCGGCTGCGTGGATGATGGCTGATGAATTTCACACGCGCGTGATTAGTGAACGCGTGTAGTAATAATACCTGCCCGTTACATGATTTATTCCTGCGCTCCATCCGCCTATATTCTCGGTGAACACGAGTTAAAGCGTCGTCATTACGCGGAAAGTCGATTTCAAATTATTTCAATATTCAAATTTAATATTATTATTGTTATAGATAAGTATATAATTATTATTACATTATTATAGTATTATTCCTTCTTGATTTTATCCTGACAAAATCAAATCATTGCTTGATGGCGAACCTATGAGATGAAGTTGATCATCCGTACATGATATTTTCCAGTTAAAATGCATTCACCATAGTAGAACAAGACGTGAATCTGCATTGTGCGCCATGGATAAGTGTCTATCGATGATGATTTATAACGTAAGCAGTTGGTGTAGAACTTACCAACACTTAGTGACTTACTAATGTTATCACGACATTAGATTTTCCGATAGCTTTTAAAAAATAACGAAAGCTCGCAGCGTTCGTTGATCCTGAGCGTGTCTCGTTTTTTTGGGGACAAAAGAAACAGCTGCTTAAGATGCGGAATCATAACTCGAGATTCTCGTGTCATTCTCCACGCCTCACGTTTAGAGACTTTCATAACACGGTAAACACACTGTACAGCAAGTATAAGGAACGCGTTACAGTTGACGTCAGTTCGCATTCCGCTATCGCTATACGTGACACTAACAGAGCCTTTAATTCTCGTGCGCATCCCCTGGACAGTTGACGCTTGTGTTCGCAGTGCAAACAACTCTGGCGTATGTTTAACTTCGCAACATGGGATGATGATCGGTAGAAATGCAAACACTCGCACAATGCACCGTGTTTCGCGGCTTATAAGACTTTCAGATGCGTTAGACGCGCCCCTGAATTTAGAAGGTAATGTGTAATACAGTATATAATATATATATATATATATATATATATAAAATAAAATATATATATATATATATTATATATATCCATGTTTTTACCCGCTCAGATTCCCTGTATTTTACAACCCCTCCTCACTATCAGCATTGATTAGTGTATTCTCTAAGCTATTCTGCTGAGAAATATAATATACCACACTGTACATACTACATAGCTAATAAATCGTAGCTATAATAATGTCTGCTATACCGACCTTCAACTTATAGGACGCAGTGTGATTTTTGGAGACATCTCTGGAGAAGAAAAGGCGTCATATAAGCCACAAATCATTGTAATTTCGTTGCCTATACTTAATGGAATCTTTTCTCGCCCCTAGGGGGTCTAATTAAGCGAGTCGCTAGGCACTATATTACTGTCTCTCTCGCTCTCTGCCTCTCACTCTCTCGCACTCTCTTGATCATGCCGCCCCTCCGTGATTGAAATGATCACTTCATAGGATGCTGCTATTCAATAATAACAGGAGAAATCTAATAATATACAGACAAGTAAGTCGCCGCCTCATGGTTATATATAGCGCAGGCAACATGACTGAACATAGGCTGTCCTGTGTGTATTGGATAGACGCGCATGTTCGCACATGTACGTGTGTATATACGTGTATATACGTGTGTGTATACGCGGAGTAGGTTATAAAATACATAACGCACACCCTCTGTACTAGCTGACGAACAAAGAAGCGACATCTTCAGGTTCAACATCCCTCATGTGATGGGTTTACGGCGGGCGTACGAAGCAATGCCGCGTGTTGTTTTTACGAACGTAAAAATGGGGTGCATCGATTCAGAACCGTCTGCTAGACACGTTCTCTTTCTACGTCGGTCGAACGTAGTCGGCGACGATCGCGACAACACGGTCGAGTGTGCGCGAGGGAAATATGTGACGCAGCGGGAAACATGTGCCGCCCTCTGCCCGCATCCCTGTCTGCCTCTCTGCCTGCATCCCTGTCTGCTTCCCTGCCTGCCTCTCTGCTTACCTACCTGGCTGCCTCCCTGCCTACCTTCCTGCCCGCATTCCTGCCCGCATCCCTGCCTACCTCCCTGCCTACCTCCCTGTCTGCCTTCCTGCCCGCACCTCCTCCTGCCAGCACCCGCCGTTGTTAGGGGGCACGTTGCTAATGCCTCCTCCACCCCACCCTCTCCCCCCTCTCTCTCTCTCTCTCTCTCTCTCTCTCTCTCTCTCTCGTTTTCTCTATTCATCCGTGCACTGAGACAAAAGCACTGTCATTTGGCGAGGCAAGAGAATGACTCCCACGGTCCCACCCCACTTGTGTTCGTAGTAGAAACAGGCTGCGAGAGAGAGAGAGGGAGAGAGAGAGAGAGAGAGAGAGAGAGAGAGAGAGAGAGAGAGAGAGAGAGAGAGAAGAGAGAAGAGAATGGGGAGGAGGCAAGAGTGGCATCTGTTGTCGCTGGCATATTGGTGATCCCACGATTCGATTAGCAGGTTTGTGCACGGGTGCGTGGCGAGCGCTTATCTATATCCGTCCGGGGAAGCCCCAGCCTTGGAAGCTGTCGCGAACGCAAAAGAGTTACTCAGTGTGTTATGTAGCTACCGCCTACCCGAGCTAACCGTGCATTAAGTGCAAAATCGCTAACTTATATCACCCACCCAGACGTAGCTAGCAGTAGCTTGCGCGTATACACGGTTGTGTATGTAGACGTATAGTGGTAGTATGTGTGGATTAGAGTATATATATACCATCGCGCCTATTCTTCCTGTGCCGAAGTTAGGTTTAAGTTGGTTATAAAATTGGTAGCGTGTACAGTAATTTCCATAGCATACTGAAGTGGGGGAGAGAGTGTGATCGGCGTGACTGACGGGGTGGGGTGTGTGTGGGGATAGGGATATGTCATCTTGCTCAGCCTACTGCTCGCTAGTATCGGCTAACAACAGCCAAGGGTTTTTATAGGGGCACGTGCATACAGAGTTAGCGCTCGCCGCGCGCGTGGTGCGTCGGCGTTGCGTGCGTGCGGGTGCGTGCGTGCGTGCCGTGCGTGCGTGCGTGGTGTGTGTGTGTGTGTGTGTGTGTGTGTGTGTGTGTGTGTGTGCGTGTGGTGTGTGTGTGTGGTGTGGTGTGTGTGTGGTGTGTGCAGCAGCAGTGTGTGTGTGTAATGTGTGCGCGTGCGTGCGCGTGTGCGTCTGTGCGTATTCGTGTGCGTGTGCGTGTGTGTGCTGGTGCGTGTGCGTGTGCGTGTGAGTGTCATCGAACCTGCTTCCCGGGAGAATTAGTCAGTCACTCAGAAGAGCCGACAGACGAGCCGAGGGGCATGCTGAGTGCAAAGACAGACGTGAGACGTACGAGTAGGATTAATCTATAATGCATCGCGCTGATGTGTGCATGACTGCCTGCTGCCCGCGATGGCACTGACTCCTGCGATACTGTAGTTATACGGGTCCAGCGGCGAGCGGGCGAGGGAGGAATCGCGCGTTCTCTACCCTCCCACTTACCCTGTGCTGTGTCTGGCTTCTCCTCCCTCCCCTGCGCTGTCTCGAATGGACCTTCCCTCCTCTTCCCGTGTTACCCCAGATGGACTTTTCCTCTTCTCTCCGCCCGGACTCTTCTCAAACTTTCCTCCCCTCCCCCACGCTGTCTGAGGTGGGTCTTCCCTCCCCTCCTCCCGCGCACAACCCTCGATGGGTGTATCCAGCTGGGTATCCGACCCCCGTCTGTTATATTCTGTGGCCCGCCTGCTTACAGGAAATCGTGAGTGATGGTGATGATGTATGCACTTGATGCTGCCGCCGCCATGTCTAGCCAGCGGGCACCCTGTCTGGCGTCGCCTCCCTCCTACTCTTCCTCCTCCTCCTCTTGCTCCCTCCTCCTCCTTATTTCTCCCTTCTTCCCCGTCTCCCCTCCGCCTCATCTCCTCCTCCTCCTCCTCCTCCTCCTCCCTTTTCCTCCTTCTCCTGCTCCCTCCTCCTCCTTACTTCTCCTCCGTCTCCCCTCCGCCTCCTCTCCTCATCCTCCTCCGCCCTTCTCCTCCTGCTCCCTCCTCCGCCTCCTTACTTCTCCTTACTTCTCCCTTTTCCTCTCCTCCTCCTCTCCTCCTCTTCTTGCTCCCTCCTCCTTACTTCTCTTCCCTTCTTCCCCGTCTCCCCTCCGCCTCCTCTCCTCCTCCTCCTTTTCCTCCTCCTCCCATCTCTTCCTCCTCCTGCTCCCTCCTCCTCCTTACTTCTCCTCCCTTCTCCTCTCCTCCTCCTCCTCCTGCTACCTCTTCCTCCTTACTTATCTTCCCTTCTTCTCCGTCTCCCCTCCGCCTCCTCTCCTCATCCTTCTCCTCCTCCTCCCTCCTTTCCTCTTTTTCTTATTTTTCCTCGTCTGCCTCCACCACCTTCTACTCCCCCTTCTCCCCCGTTTTCCCTGTCTCCTCCACTCCCACCGTGTGTACTGCATCTGTCCATTGT